ACATGCTGAATTTGGTGCTAATGGGATTTGCAAGTATAAATGTCCAATAGACTTTTAGATATATTTCTCTAGAAGTTAAGAGAAATTTAGACTTTATCAAATGTATTTATTATACATTTATACAGTTATTTGCCCAAGAAAAATTCAAATGTCTAACTTCACGGATCTTCAAAGAAATGCAAATTAATACAGGAAAGAGATGCTTTTTAATACCCATTGAATGATCTAATTTAAAAAATACTCAGCGCTGGCAAGATTGTGGTCCAACTAGGATGCACATAGGCTACTGGTAGAAATACAAATTGGTTTACATATTTTGGAAAGCAATATAGCCATGCATGTTAAACACAAAGAATTGTGTGATTCCCTTTGATTTAATAATCCCACTCTAGAAAGTTTATCCCAAAAACGTGAGCCAAAAAGAGGAAAGAACTCTGTGCATCTCGAGAAGAGGAAAGGGAGCTGAGAGTTTCTAAATGATTGCTTGTGCTCAGTACTTTAAATTCATCGTCTCAGTTAATCCTCCCAGCAGCCTTTTGAAGTGTCCCCACTTTACAGGCAAGGAGACAAGGCTCAGACGGATTAGTAATTTGCCGGTATCAGAAAACTTGCAAGGGGCAGAGTTTGAACTTAAATTAGGCATCTGCCTAACTCAGACCAATTGTGTAAGAATAGAAAAATAGTTAAATCCGTTATGAAATGCTATGCAAACATTGCAAGTGTGGTCATGTGGGAACATGTAGGAAGGAACAGAGCATCAAACTGTAGATTCACTATAATTATTAAGAATTTATACCTGGACTAAGTAGAATAAAGACATGAGAAGTTTTAATTTGTTATGGTGGCAGAATTTGTTTAAGTAGTATTGAAATTGCCATGGTCTTTTTGATTTTTTAAAAATTCTTTGTTTTTTGTGAAAAGGATATAATCTAACATATTTTGAACGTATTTTTTTTTGGGGGGAGGAAGATCAGCCCTGTGCTAACATCTGCCAATCCTCCTCTTTTTTTGCTGAGGAAGATTGGCCCTGGGCTAACATCTATGCCATCTTCCTCTACTTTATATGGGACGCCGCCACAGCATGGCTTGCCAAGTGGTGCGTCGGTGCGCGCCCGGGATCCAAACCGGCAAACCCCGGGCCACCGCAGCGGAGCTCGAGCACTCAACCACTGGCGCCACCGGGCCGGCCCCAAGACCGTATTTTCGAATGTGTTATTTATACTCCTATGCACTTCTAAAACGTATATGAGCTGTTATATCATGTCTAGGTGCATTTTTTGTCCTTATCACCTACCCCTTAACTCCTGAAAACTCTTGCATCAAAGACCCTCACCAGCAAAATCCCTATATTCTTAAACTCTTCTCTGAAATTACTTTTTATCTTGTTAACGGAAACCTGGATATGCCCTGAAAACACTACTCCCCTGAGGCCCTCTCAGATGGCCGCTCTGTATTTTGTGCCCCAAAGTTGAGGAGATTAAGTAGTCTCTATGCTCTTCCTTGCTACCTTGACCCTTCCACTTCACTCCTCCCTAAAAACTCTCAGCTTTAAATCTCTTGTTATCAGACTGTATCACCTGCTACCCCATTGTTGTTACAGGGGGGTAACAAGCCTAGGATTCCTCCCTCATTTCTCCATCATTCTCACTCCTGGCTCACTGCCATTCTCGCCAGCAATGCTCTCTCTTCATTCTTGGGGATTTCAATACGTACATATACAATCCTCCTAATATCCCTGGCTTCTCAGTTCCTTTAGCGTCTGGCCACCTCAGCCTTTACCGCCCGTTGTTGCCCCCTAGAGGGTGTCATCATCATTAACTGCATCCCTCCATTATCTCAATTGCATTTATGCCACTCTCTGACCACTCTCCTCTGCCTGGCTCTTGAGCTCACTCCCTCCAGGGTTGAGAAATCAACTCCATCCGAGCCTTCTATCCATTGATCTCATTACTTTTTCCATCCTCTTCTCTCCCTCCCAAGATGTTGAGTCCACCTCAAGTTCCATGGACAGTTGTCATATTCATTCCCTTGCATGCATCCTGACTCCTCTGCCCCTCTTTCACGTCTCATACCCACTGGGCAATTCCACAACTCTGGCTGAGTCCAAATCTCTGCCCACTTTGTGCCTGCACCTTTGCGTCAGACATTGGCTGGAGAGAAACACAACTGTACTGTTTGGTTTCCCTTTTAATTCATGACCACGAGCCTCAAGTGGGAACTAACGGCTGCCCAGCAGTCATCTTATGTCATTCACTCTCACTGGGCTTTTTACAGTCTTCTCATCTTTTCTTAACTCTCCAGCACCTCCTCTCTCAACCTTGTTCTCAACTGATGCCTTTCTTCTGACTTTTGCTGGAAAAATTGAAAGAATAAAAGGGAGCTTCCACCAGCTCCCACTGAACTCATCACAGATGAACTCCTCACAGATGAACTGCTGTTGAAGGCCAGCTCCTCCACTCCGAGGTCCCCCCTGCCTGCTCAAGGATATTCCTCTCATCATCTGTTGGTCATTCCATCAGCATCCAAATATGCTGGTACTTCTCCCATCATATTAAGGAAAACAAAAACATTCCCAGATCCCATTCCACCCTTCACCTGCCACTCCATCTCTTTGTTCCCCTTTGTAGCAGAACTCCCCAAAACACCATCTGGTATCCATTCTTGTTATTCCCAGCGCTGCTGTCTCATTCTCTCTTAAATCCAGTTCGGTCAGGCTTTTGGCCTGACCAAACTGCATTTATCACAGTGTCACTGTGTCACTGCCCGTATCAAAGTCTCCAATTAAATACAAGCTGCTAAATCCAACAGTTCTCAGTCCTCGATTCAGTCTCGTCAGCAGCATTTGACATCACTGTCACTCCTTCTCCTTGAAGCACTCGAATCACCAGACTTCTAGAATGCGCCCCTTCTGGATTTTTCTCTTACTCCTCTGGCCAGTCCTTCTCAGTCTCCCAGTACTCAAACCTTCGACCTCTTCTCTGTCTACACTTAAGCCCGAGGTCATCATCATTAAAGTGTCATGGCTTTAAATATCATCTATGTGCTGACGACTCCCAGATTTATGATTTCCGGTCAGACCTTTCTCCTGACCTCCACACTTATATGGCCATCTGAGAGGTTTGGAGATATCTCTATTTGCATGTCTAATAGACATCTCAGACTCAACCATGATAACCAGACTGAACTCCTGATTCGACCCCTTCCCCCCCAAACCTGCCCATCTCGGTTAATGGCAGCTCTTGTTTTTCCATCTGCTCAGGCCTGACTCCTAACACCTTCTCACCTCTTCCAAACCACTGCCATCTCATACCTGGGTTATTGCAGGACCCTCTAACTGGTGTCTCTCCCTCTGCACCTCTCACCTTTATAGTCTGTTCTCAACACAGCAGCCAGAGGGATCCTTCTGTAACATTGGTTAGACCACCTCTTCTCCACTCACACCCCCGGTGGCTCCCCATCCCATTCAGGTGGAAAGCTACAGTTCTTCAAAGCTGTACACAATCTGACCACCTGTTATTTCTCTGGCTTTCTTTCTCTTCCTCTTAACATTTTACTCGTCCCACTCCAGCCACACTGGCAGCATGCCAGGCAGGCACCCTCCCATACACCTGAGGGTCTTTGCATAGGCTGTTGCCTACGTTTAGAATTCTAACAACTCAACTCCCAGGTACCAAACACGTCACTCCCTCCCCTATGTCAAAGGTCACCTCCTCAGCCGTACCCACTCTGGCCACCCTGCACTCTCCGTCCCCTCACCCTGCCCTGTTTTTAATAACACTTCTCACCTTCTAACATAAACCCGACTCATTTATTGTGTTACCATCTGTCTCCCGCTACAGTGTAAGCTTCAGGAGGACACAGATTTTTTATCTGGTCTATTTATTGATTTATCTCCAGCATCTAGAATAATGCCTCCACCTAAGAGATGCTAAAAAAAAAATATGTTCAGAGTATGAATGAAAGTTTCCTGTTTCTGCCTGATGCCTCATGGACACATGCTGAGAAATCCGCCTCATAATAGCTTTTAATTCCTTTTCAAGTTTCTCAAGTGCTGTATTGTAAACATCATTCAGAAAATGACTACTAAGAAACACTATATCATTGATTTGATTATATATAGTCTTTTATTCTAAACTGACAACTCCTTTAGAATGTAGCAGTGGTATAAATATTGAAAATGTATAAACAACATAATAGATCCTTGACATTTTTAGGAATATGTTCAAAGTTCTTCAAAAATTCCCCAAATTATGGATACCATAATAGTATATTCTACTCTCGTGCATTTCATAGACAGCAATAAGGAGAGAAGGAAGCCACATGTTGCTCCAGATACCCAGCGGCTCATTCATCGGAAGGAGGCTCCTCACCCTCACCCCGGCCCGCCCCTAGCCCAGCCTCTCTCTGTGCTCAGGCTGCACTCTTGTGCCACAGGGACATCACAAATTATAGCAGCTCGTGAGCCCTCAGCATCGCCCACGTACTGTTGAAACCAAGGATATCTGTGAAAGCCAAGGGTCCACTATATTAGTTTATTCTCTTTGCAAATTTTTAAAATACTAATTTTAAAAAATTAGTTGCCCAGGCCACTCAGCCTTGGTTTTAGAATGTAATATGTGTGGGCGTTATTACAACTAAACGACCAGGTGACTTACTGTTAAAGACAAAATGAGCAACCATTTATAACAGAGTAAGTTTTCACTTTGAGATCAAATTACAAGCAAGCATCCCTTCAGTTTCATTTTGGTCCTCTACAAATAAACCCTAAATGTAAACAAAAAAGAAAAAGAAAAAAAAAACACGTTTGTTTTCATTTTTAAGTGATTTTTAAATATATATTCTAGTTTAAGGAAACCTTCTGCCGTGGTAACTTTTTTTAAAATGGTAATGATCAGAAGCCTTTGACACAGAGTGGGAGTGAGGAAGGGGGATGCTGTCGCCACGGTGACAGCTGTCCAGCATAAACATCTCACATCTCTTCCGTTTATCATGTATTTTAGGGCAATTCAAGCTGCTGGAACAAGACCGAGATATAAAGGAGCCAGTGCAATATTTCAACAGCGTGGAGGAGGTGGCTAAAGCATTTCCCGAACGCGTGTACGTCATGGAGGAAATAACATTCAACGTGAAGGTAGCTCTGGAAGAACCAAATATTTATCCTCACTAAAATAAGTTAACTTTCAGGGTGCTGTGTGCACAGTAAGTGCCCATCTGTGCCTCGGAGGAGAGTTCCTTCTTCCTAATGGGTCAGTAATGTCAGTGGCCAAAACTGGTCTTTTAAGAACTGCATGGGCTGGCCCTGTGGCTTGGTGGTTAAGTGCGCGCGCTGCGATGCTGGTGGCCCAGGTTCGGATCCCGGGTGCGCATCGAGGCACCACTTCTCCGTTCATCCTGAGGCCGAGTCCCGCATACAGCAACTAGAAGGA